TTTTTTTTTTTTTTTTTTTTTTCCTTTGATTAACTCTTGGTTGTCTGTCCTCCTGCGTGGCGAGTAGCTGGAGTGTTCTCTATGTCAGATGCCCTGGACGATACTTCAATCACAGATCATTTCTGCCCAGTTCGACTATGCCTTATATCTTGCTTGCAACTTGACGTGACAATCTGCTACAACCCCCAGCTTTCTCCTATCTTTACTAACTCCTATAGCACAGATGTCAGATCAGATGTCAGGACGACAGGACCAGACAAGGACTCTGACCAGCTCTCAACTCTGACGTGCCCAGACGCTTGAGTCCCTTCAGACCAGACCAGACCAGACCAGACCGAGTGTAGACCAGACAGCAGCAGCGACCACCAGAGAGGAGGGGAAGTAGAGGTACTCGACACACGCTCAGCATGCAGCCAGGTAAGGGGTAAGAAGTTCTTCTCTCTTCTGAAGTCGTCGATGAAGTCTCCTCGATCGCTCCACGCTCCACGCTCCACACGCGGGTAAGATCTCCTCCTTAGCCCCCTTCCTCCTAATCCCAACCACCTCTCTTCTCACACTTCCACCATAGCCAGCGTCTTCAAGCCAGCATATCCTCCTCGCCGGCCTTACTCATGCCAGCACTTCAGTGAGCGCAACAAGTTTTGCTCTGATACCAAATTGCAAGGAACCTGACTGTTCATAGCTTGCTGGAGTGTATCTCATTGCATGCATATATGTCATCATACAGATAGAGAAACTTCACACGAAGCCAAATCGAGATGAGATGAGAACAGATAGTGCAGCTCTTATTATCACAACAACATCATACAAAGAGTATCTCGAGTCCAAGAGTTCAGCGCCAACAGAGTACAAGTCTCTTTCGTTCCTTTCTCGATATAGGGCCTGGCTCAGCCAGCATCTCCCCTCAGATCACAGGTATGGCGCCAACAGGTAAGTATCCACCATATCCAACTCCTTAACCTGTCTTCTCTCTCTCTCCCTCACGAGATCCCTGTCTTGGTTCCCTTGTCTCACTTTGCATGCTCACTCCCTACTTATGAGGATCTACTCTGAATGCTACTCACTGATATCTACTACTAACCCCTCTACTTCTACTAACCATGCTGGCGCAGTTATGGCTGCTTCTGCCAGTCAGCGCCCAGCCTCTTCTTCTCCTGCCTGCGCAGCTTCCAGCCAGCGCATTCTCCCTGCATGCTAGCGCACAAGTGCTTCAGCACTTCCACGCATCTATGCCAGTGGAGATCTGCCGTGTGGGGAGGCTGGCCTGGTATCTTATAGTGCTGGCCTCCCTTCGCGAGGTCTGAATCAGTCTTCCTTGGGTCTTTCCCCAGCCCCAGACCACTGCAGAATGTGTCCCAGTATCTTTCCCTCAGGGTCTGCTGCTGCTGCGGCCTTTCGGCCTGAATTTTGGACTTTTGGTCTGAATCTGGACTGTCTATTGGACTTTGACTTGGACTGGGACTTGACCCCATTGACTACCATTCGAACAGACAACTTCTGCACGAACAGACACATCTACTGCACGAACAGACATGACTTGCACAGCCCCCTGGACGAACAGCCGTGACTCTCACAATTGAATGCTGCAACTGTTCGTCCTGGGGCACGACTGTGACCTTTGACACAACTCCTCACTTCAGTTAGGATGTGACTTTTGACCCAGAGAACGTCTTTTGATCTGCTTTTCACGAATTGAGTTCTGGCCGAGTGGGCCCCATTATGCTGCGTTCGTCATTCAGTGTCTGAACGGGTAAAGGCCCTTTTAATTCTCCCAGCAAGCCAAAATGACACATCATCGAGAGTGGTGCCACGTCAGCGTCAATGGCCAGCAGGCCGTCACGAATGGAGATACTTCGTTGCCACGTAAGCAGTAGGAACCGCCAATCCGTGTATGATCACTTGGTTGTCACTTCAAAATGTCATGTCAACCTGGTGTGATGCTGCGTCATCGGAGATGCCACGTCAGCAGGTAGGTCGCAACACAGGTGAGTGCCACGTCAGACAGTACAACCCGCTGCTGCTTCTTCTTACGTGCCATGTCAGCACCTGCTTGTGATGCCACGTCAGCGGCGATTCCCCGATGCCAGATAAGCAGCTTCCTCTCTCTCAATCTCATCGGTCACCCACCAATGCATATCAGGTCAACGTCATCACCACGTCATCACCATCATCAGATACATGTGTACGCGTGCGCAACAAAATCAATCAGTCGCCCGTACCAAGCAGGCACACTGAGTCGCTCGATAGTCGACAACATGCGGGCGCGATATTCCAAGGCGTGCGGAGCACGCGTGTGAGCATGCGAATACAATACCGCCGCACGAAATCTACGGTAATGAGCAGGTAGCGACAGATGGAGGATATCGCTCTGACACCAAATTGCAATGAACCCAGTCAGGAGAGAAGCTCATCAACTTCAAGATACAGAATGTCTTAGCGCAGATGTAATGTCTCCAAAGTCGTACAAGTAATCATGTAGCTCAATGTCCCATCACCAGAGAGGAAGCTGAGAGGAGGGAGAAGAGACTGAGAAGGTGGAAGAGAAAGTAACCATCAGCTTAGCAGTCAGGTCTTCCTCAGAACCCCCTTCTCCTTCGGGCATTTCCCTTCGCCACATCAGCAGGCAGTCCCCTCTGACACAATTGGAAAAAGAGCAGGTCTCATCATAGCGCTTGTCATCGCAGACAACATCTGAAGACAAACAGCAATGCGCAACAACAATCAGTGTCAGACAGGTAAGCTTCCCACAATCTCACAGCCCTGATCATCCTCCTCGTCGCCGATATCTCATCAATCTCGTAGACAGAGTGGCCAATGCCACGTCAGCATGGTCTCTGGTCCAGCTGGCGCCAAAGACAGGGAGGGCGCCAGCATCAAGTAGTCGCAGAGCAGTCTCGCGTCGTCTTCCAATGTCAAGCCAGCGCAGAGCCAGCGTTATGCCAGCGTAGAGTTAGCGTCCAAACAGCGTCGAGCAGCAAGTGCAAGACTCAATGTCGGTCAGCAGGGGCTGGGTCAACTCATACTGTTGATTCAAGGTTGACCAGCCTCTGGTCTCTTGGATATGACAGCCCAGATTACTTTGCAGCCAATGGCTTGGATCCCTTACAGTTGCAGATTTCCACCTGCTCTTGATCTCCTGTGGATACCTGCAAACAGCCAAAGGTGTGTGTCTGATCGTCGGCCTGGACTGGGTCCGCATTGACTTTTACTTGTGAATCTGAATTTCCGAGCTGCTGTGGACTGTTGACTTTCTTTGGTCAACTGCCGCACGTTGGGCCACTGAAGGCCAGTTTCCAGGCCTTGTTTTCAGTGCCCACAGCAGCAGACCTTCTCGTGGGTTGTTGCATGACTTGGGCTTGGCCTAGGACCCCTGTTTCGGCCTCTTGGACCGCGGTAGCAGCCGGCGGCCATAACTGATGCATGATTTGAGGTAAGTATTCCAATTCATAGTGTATAAGTCAAAAAAAGAGTCGTGCATAGTTTACAAAATTGCACACTTGTAACCCTCTTAATCTACGAGTGACAAGTGTGACATGCACAGCTCACAGCAGTAGGTTATGGGGTCACATGGTCCTAGGGGTTAGGGGTTAGTCATTGGTCCAGACCGTTTCAGACCAGAGGTCCGCTAGTTCAGTCCAGGGCCTGTTTTAGGGTCTGTGTCGTTTCAGTTAGAGCCAGCAGTGGTTCAGGCCGAGGTCCATCGTTTAGGACCCAGCTTAGGCCCTGGTGCCGGTCAGGTGCAGTTTTCGGTCAGATGTTGGCACCAGTCCCGTTTCGTTAGCCACCAGTTCCCCTTCAGATCGTGGGACAGTTCGACATTGGTGAGGCCAGCCGCTCTTCGGACCAGCTCTATGTGTAGCTTGTCCGCCTAGCAGCAGGCAGGTAGTTATCCAGGAGCACTGTAGCATTAATCGACAGGCTGGGCGCTGTTAGTGAGTTAGTCTACAGTGCTGGGCCCTGTTAGTGAGTAGCGACATCAGTCGAGGAGACCTCGAGCTTGAGACTGCAGCGAGAGCTGCAGTGGGAGTAGAGTAGGGGTGAGGCCAGGGGCTCTTCATCCTCTTTCGGGTACACTAGAGAGAGAGAGTTGAGACTTCAGACTTGATGGAATTAGATTTTGGATTGACATTGGACAGATACATTGGGGGGGGGCACTGTGGAGACTTCATGAATGATGATCGAGTTGACATCTCCATATCTCCACCTCCTTCGTCTCTTTCCCCTCCTCATCTGTGGATGTTTGTAGGCCTGGCGCCCTTCGAGTGTTTGTAGGCCTGGCGCCCTTCGAGTGTTCGAGGCCAGGTTCTCACCCTTTGAGTGTTCGACGCCAGGTCCCCTCTCACCCTGCCGTCAGTCTGAGTCAGTTTGGTGAGATCGCGGTATAACAGTCTTTCGCTCAGCTATCATTGCTCTATCTCCTTGAGGTCGGTTCTTGGTTCTTATCCGTGCCCTATAGGCATGCAACAGAGAGAGAGAGAGAGAGTGGTACATGCCCAGTTGGGCGATGTACATAGAAACCGAGGATCTGCAATGTGATGAAAAGGACTGAATACAAGTCCTGACCTGAACGGGACTGACCTCATTCACGTAGTGCAAGATAGCGAAGCAGAAAGCTAGAATACTAATGACTAGCCCAATCAACGTTTGAATGCAGACCAAACATACATCGTATCCATCACAAGGTGTGAAGGAGCCTGGCGCTGTGCACAKGAAGGAAGCGCCAGGTCCAGACATACACAGACGAAGAGGAGGGGATCAGACGAAAGGAGGGAGAGAGATGGGAATGTGGTCAACACCAAGTCTTTGTCAAGAGTCCCAAATAATCCCTCGTTGCAATGTCTGAAGTCCAAAAGTCGAGTTTGGATCCAATGTCACCAAGCTCTTTCTCTCTTCTCTCGTAGTCTGCAGATGCAGTGAAGTCAGATGATGAGAGGGTGAAAGGGAGATGGTGGACTGAGAAGAGGAAGAAGAAGAACTCTCTCTCTTTGTTACGAGCCAGATACTAACCTGTGATGTTGGCACTATGCTGCAGGTACCTCGAAGACGAAGCTGGAGCAACGGCGCTGCAGGTAGGTACCGAAGGCCTCCGCCCAATCTCTCTCTCTCTCTAGTGCTATCCTAGCTATGGCGCTCAGCGCTGCAGACTACAACTACCTACTGCGCCCAGCGTTGAAGACTAAAGGCTAACGCTACTACTACTCCCTGCAGCGCTCCCTCCAGAGTGCTGCGTCCGAATCCTGAAGACTCCTGCCTCCTGCCTGCCCGTGAAGTGCATGGGAAGTCCCTATGTACTACCTCACCCTGCCTCCTGACTCACTAAAGGGCGAGCCAGGCCGAGGAGGCTGCTCTTGCCAATGCCGAAGTGTGACAGGGGCTGGCGCTGCAGCATGTGCTGAGGCTGGCATGGGAACAGGCTAAGAATAGCCTGTTCCGGAAACCCTGGTTAGGTGCCCGAGTTTCAGGGCTGGTCGTGCTAATGAAGACCGAAAATGGCCCTTCGTTTCAGGCTAAAAAGGCTATTGCCATTTTTAGTCTGAAATGACACAGGGACTGTAGGCCCCTGTTTTCAGGCTTTCGGGCTGAACAGTCACGGGGCCTGTAGGCCCTGGTTTTCACGCTTTTAGCCTGAAGGACGCAGGGCCTGGAAAATGGCCCTCGTGTGCAGGCGCAGCATGTAACACCCCCCCCTCCTTGTGAAGTCAAGCCGTGGCGAGGGCGAAGCCGGCGATCTGAAGGTTGAACCGGGACGCGTGGAGCCGAAGAAATCGGCTTGCCTTGCATTTTGCGTTCGTAGCGTGCGAGAGGAGCTGTTGCTTGAAGTTCCGCACGGGTCAACCAACGGTCAGCTCGGTGTGTGCAGTAGGCAAAATGCACTAAATACTCTTGGCTTGTTGCCGTAGCGTCGCTGGGAGATGATGCGACCTCCTGAAAACCATCCATGGAGGGTGGGTCTTGCGAACGTCTCCCGGGAAAATCGTCATGTTCCGCTGGCGTGTAAAGAGCCAACTTGGAGCAATGAAAGACTGGGTAGATGGGCAAGTGGCCGGGCACCTGAATCGTGAAGGAAAGTCCCTCGGGTGCGTCCCCAGCAGGTGCCACGATCGGCCAAGGCCCCATCCATTTCGGAAGGAGCTTGCGAGAGATGTCTTGTTCAAGGCTGAATTCCGCTGCGGAAACCCAAACTAGGTCGCCGGCGCGGAATGGGCAAGGAAGACGCTGGCGATTGGCCTGCTGGCTCATGCGCTGCTGCGCCATCTGGTCGCGTGCCTTGACAAGAAGCTCTTGCATCCGATGCAAGAAAAGAAGATGGTCGTCGCTCTCGACCGTTCGTGGAGTAATAGTGTCCAATGGTGAAGTGACCGGCGAGCCGTGCTCGAACTCGAAGGGCGACATCCTGATAGTCGGGTGGATAGAGGAGTTGTAGGCCAACACGACATCCGACAACCGCTCAACCCAGTCCTTCTGGTCGGGGCGGATGAGAGTGCGAAGGAGTACCTGTGCGGTCTGATGCGCCCTCTCCGTCTGGCCATCGGTTTGAGGGTGGCGAGCTGAACTGGGCTTGAGAGATGAGCCTCATCGCTTAATGAGCGCCACCCAAAAATTGGACATGAACCGAGTGTCGCGGTCGCAGACGATTTCCTTGGGGTAACCCTTGGTTCGAATCCAACCGGCGTAGAGAACCTCGGCCAAGGTAACCCTTGGTTCGAATCCAACCGGCGTAGAGAACCTCGGCCAACTCCGGTGCCTTGGCATGATAGCGACAAGGCAAAAACATGGCGAACTTGGTGAGTCGGTCGACCACCGTGAGAATCCCATCCACTCCGGTCTTGTGCTTGGGGAACGGGCTGGTAATGTCCATGGCAATTGCTTCCCTTCGCCTCAACGGGACCGTACGGATGATGGTTGCGGGATTTGCAGCGTCGGCAAACCTCGCATGACTCGCAATAGCGCGTGACGTCGCCGAGAAGGCCGGGCCACCAAAATCGCTGGCGAAGTCGGCCAATCGTGCGATCGACTCCAAAGTGTTCGGTGGCAGGAGCATCGTGGAACTCGCCAAGAAGCCGTGTACGCAAGTGAGGATCACTCTGTACACAAAGAAGGTCCTTCCCCCGCGTGTGGACAAGCAAGTACCCCTCTTGGATCCGGTAGTGAGAAGGCGCCGGATTAGGAGAGGAGCAATTCGCGTACTTGTCGTGAAACTCGGGGTCGGCTTGGTAGCCGCGGATGAAGCTGTTCCGCAGGTCATCGTCGATCTCGAAGGTTGAGTAGACCGAGGTACAATGATCCGGACGCCGTGAAAGAGCATCCGCAAAACGGTTCGACTTCCCGGGAATGTGATCGGGAAAGAAGTCGAACTGGTCGATGAAAGCCATCCATTGAGCGATGGTGTTGTTGACGGTGTCTTGGGTCTTGCAAAAGACCAACGGATTGTTGTCCGTTACCCATCGAAATTGGCTTCGACCAAGGAGGAAGTGCCGCCACCGCTTGAGCGCGTGGACGAAGGTGAGGAGCTCCTTCTTGCGTGCATCGTCAATCGAATGCACGATGGGCACTTTCTTGCTGAAATACTCGATCGGGTGCCAGTCCACACCATCATGTTGCTCGAGGACTGCACCAATGCCATAGCCTGACGCATCCGTAGTGACCCGCGTAGGCAAAAGTGGGTCGTATATCCGCAAGACCTCCGCAGACAATAGCGCGGCTTTGAGAGCCAAGAAAGATTCCCGCGCCTCCTCTTCGAAGTCAAACGGCCGATCCTCGCATTGAAGCTTGTTCAAGTGGGCCGCGATCTTCGAGTAGCCTTTGATAAAACGTTGGTAGTAGCCGGCAAGGCCAAGGAACGAACAGACATCCGCGACGTTCTGAGGCTCCGACCACTCCTAGATGGCTTGAATCTTGTGCGATAGCGAACTGATGCCCTCTGGTTTGACAAAATGGCCCAAGTATTCCAACTCTTGTCGGACAAATTTGCACTTGTCGCGGTTGGCCTTGTGCTTGGTGCGGCGGAGCGTCTCCAACACTCGTCGAAGATGCCCAAGATGATCCTCCAATGACTGGCTATAGACGAGAATATCGTCTAAGTCGACCAGCACGAACCGGTCCAACATTGCACGGAACTCATTGGTCATTGCCGCTTGAAAGGTCGCCGGGGCGTTGGTGAGGCCAAAAGGCATGACCACCCACTCAAAATGCCTGTACTGCGTCTTGAACGCGGATTTGTAGCGATCGTTCGGCCGGATCGAGATTTGATGATATCCCGATTTCAAATCCAACTTAGAAAAATACTTTGCGCCGCCCAATCGCTCAAGAAGATCGTCGATGCGAGGAAAAGGCCCCACATTCTTGACGGTTTGCGCGTTGAGCTTGTGGTTGTCGATACCGGACGAAGAGAATTGGTGCTCCATACGGGGAGCTGCTAGGGCGGATCCAGCCCTTGGCCAACAAATCGTCGAGTTGTGCGCGGAGGACCTCAAGCTCCTCCTCGCTCATCCGATAGATGCAACCTTTCGGCGGCATGGCACCGGCCTCAAGAATGATCTCGAGAGAGATCAGCCGATCCGGCACCACACCGGTAGGTGACTCGAAGATGTCGGCGAACTCGTCCAGCAACCGCACCACCCGGGTGTCCGAAGACAAGTCCGTGGGTGAAGTGTTGGCCACTGCGACGGTCTGTAGGAAACATAGGCCGATTTCCTCGGGCTGCTCGTAAGCGCAAGTCGCCCGGAATGATTTGGCCGTCACCACTTGGCACCGAATCGAAGGGTGCGGTAGCCACTTCCGCGCCGAAGGCGTCGCGAACGCTAAGAGTCCGCCGGTGGAAGTTGACCGTGTGATCCGCACTTGCAAGCCAAGGCATTCCCAGAATGATGTCGAAGTCTGTGTCGAGAATATCGAATGTCACCGGTTCCCATGCATGAGGTGCGAAATAGACCGGTACGGCCTCGATGTAACGGTCGAGAAGTTGCTGCGTCTTTCCATCCATTATTGCTTATTCTACGTGTAGCCAATTAGGTTATACGGTATTCGCTTGTGGTATCTCCAATTATTTTGTTTGCCTTCCTTCGAACTTGTGTGCCAAGGCCAGCCCTTTGCATAAAGGATTGGCTCATGAAATTGCGAGACGCGCCGCTATCCAGCGAAGCGCTGCACGACGCTTGCCCAACTTGAATGCGGACATACATGAGCAGTGCGTTGTTGTCATCGTACCGCTGCGTGTGAAACTTGCGGGCCACCTTGGTAGTATACGCAAGGATGTCCCCCACCGCGACTTCGTCATCCGTCGGCAAGGTTGGTGGTGCATAGAAGGATAAGTAAGTGTGGAGATGAGCGCATAGTGCTGCGCATTGCGGTCCCGGCAAGCGGCCTGTGGTCGGGAGAGGAAGCCATGCAAAGTCCTCGGACGTGAGCGGGTCCAATACCTCTATGTTGAACTCGCGCGCCGAATCCCGTGAAGAACCACTTGAAGACGATATGTCGGCGTTGCCAGACGGAGAAGAAACCGCACACACTTCTTGTCCTTGAGCTCGAGTACCGAGCGAAGGAACGAGCCGGGCAGCATAGTCCTCAAAAGAAAGTAGAAGAGGAGAACTATCGACTTCCTCATGCGCCTCAGAATGAAGGCCGGTTACTCGCGAAGAAACCGGTTCTGGAGGCGTCGAGAGTGTTGTCAAGTCACTCAGTTTCCCTGTTTGCCCCTGCCTTTCAATGGGAAGACTAGTGTCTGATGAAGATTACGATTGCACCATAGGCAATAGTGGAATCTCGTACGCGCCTTGAAGGCTTGCTCAGAGATGTCGTATTGGGACCAAGGGGCTGGAGCGGCTGCGCCGGGCCCGGGGCTAGATGCGGTGTGTGTCTTCGTCTTGCCACATCCTCGACCTCTGCTGGGGCGGCCACCTTCCCGGGCGGCTGCGAGTTTGTCCCCTTCACTGGCAGACACAGCCTTGCTGGTTTGGTCAAACGGCGTTGCCACCGCGACCACGACCACTCTTGGCCGATGCTGGTCCCTGCTCGGGCCTGCCGCAGACGAACGCAGGTTCTTAGCTTCCTTGTTCGTAATGATGATTTGCGCGGCCTTGTCAAAAAGTTATGCCATCGTTGTCAAGGTGTCCTCAACGTGAGTTAGGGCATTACTTAATGTCGGACAGAGATAAAGTAGTGGCGGATGGCTTTGAAACCCATTTGGATGTCTGGGACTGACGTCAACCGTTGGTACTCGGCGATCCAGTCGGTACTCGGCAGCGTGCCTTGCTCGAAGACCATGAGCTTGTCCATAGCCTTGATCTCGGGCGTCTCAACTTGGAACCGCTTGTGCCACGCCGCCTTCAGATCATCCCAACTGATCTTGGTGTGCAAGTCGTTAGCTACCACTCCGTACTTGGACAAGAGGTTGTCCAACCAAGCCTGGCACGCGCCCCCTAAACGAGAGTACAAGTATGAGTGGTGCTTGTGTTCTTTGACGTGGTGGAGCTGCAGCGTGAGCTCGAACTTGCGGAACCATGGAACCGGATCTGTCTTGGTCGAGTCGCAGAAGATCTTCTGCCCGTCAAACTTTGGAGCTGTCTCGCGCGGCTCCGAACTTGAGGTATTGGCGGTAGTACAGATCCGTTGTTGCAGCTGTTGCGTTGCGGTCTGCTGTAACTGCACGCCGTCCTTGAGGGAGCCGACGTCCATCTCCCACGCTTCGAGGCGATCGAAGGTATTGGAAGAGCTGGCGTCGGGGGCGGCGACTGGTCGCTGCTCCAGCTGCTGAAGGCGGCCTTGGACTTGAGCTAGCGAGTCGTCGAGGCTATGGATATCCTCTTGCTGTGTAATGCATGTAGCCAGGAGGTCTGTGAGATGCGAGAGGAGGAGAGCGATCTTGTTTTCGCAATCCTCCAACTTGCCATTCTCGGCCTCGGTCCACCATGTCGTTGCCATTGTGAGCAAGGTCTGCTCTGCGCTAAATATCTTCTCACGACGTTGGTTTCTTTCTTCATCGGCAGCCCTTGCTGCTGCCTCGTTATGCTGGCGCTGTTGTTCAAGTGCCAGCAGGCGTGCCTGCTCGGCGTCCTCTGCCTTCTTCTTCGCTGCTGCTGCTGCGTCATCTGCCCGTTTCTTTGTTTCGGTACTCCAAGCCAGCATCCGGGCCTGATAGGCCTCGTCTGCTTCTCCGGACCTCTGGTCCATAACGGCTGTATGTGACCGCAACAGCATATACCAGGCTGGGGGCCTGCTGACGTGGTGTTTCCTGCTCTGTCGGCTGACGTGGCCTGCTGATGTGTCCTGCTGATGTGGCGTGCTGACGTGGTCTGCTGGCGTATCCTGCTGACGTAGTCTGCTGACGTGGCCTGCTGACGTGGCAACTCACCAATGCCGTCGCAGGGGGTACCCGGAGATGGATAGAGAAGGTAAGCCAGAGGGGGCATCAACATAGGTGGGGAGGGTGGGTGGGGAGAATCGCCCAGATAAAGAGCCACTAATCAAAAAGAAAAGTTTGAACTTTGCAAAAAAAAATTGAAATAATAAAATCCCGAGTTTTGCAAGTTCAGTAGGTCTCCCAACCTCCCTTGAAGTCCGAAATGATCAATGAGAGCAAAAACAATTTCGACTTCAGACTGCAAATGACTGATAGAACTGACTAACAGAATCCTAGAACTGCGAAAAAAAAATTCTGAAAATAAATGACAATATTGAATATTCGGATTTACTCAGATAAGATTATTCGCCGTTTGGAAAATAATACCGCAGGAGGGATTTCCCGTACCGTTTTCAGAAAAACGAGATTCGAAAAAGAAGATATTATGGTAACGGGAAATGCAACAGGAAATCGAAATTTTCGAAAAGAAGGATCTTCCGGATTTTCAACAACGAAATTTTGAAATTTCAGAAGGAAAACGAAAATGGAAATTTCAGATGTTGCGCTATTACGATTTTCTACAACAGAAATAACGAGAAAACAAAATCCAAGGAAAGAACAAACAATTTCGATTTTCGGCCGTAAGGTCAAAATCGTGATTTTGGGGCTATCTAGTGTGCTCTAATCAATCAATAAAGACTAATCAGCTACTTGGTCCCCGCACACGTGTCAGATCAGGTTGTCCTGATTCACGTGTCGTGCATATCAACTGTTACATGCCCAGTTGGGCGATGTACATAGAAACCGAGGATCCGCAATGTAATGAAAAGGACTGAATGGACAATGCAGTGCAAGTAGAATCTCAACAAGCAATGTGCATTCTCATACATACAAAAGGGTGCTGAATAGCGCAGTGGAAGACTTATATACAAGTCCTGACCTGAACGGGACTGACCTCATTCACGTAGTGCAAGATAGCGAAGCAGAAAGCTAGAATACTAATGACTAGCCCAATCAATGTTTGAAAGCAGACCAAACATACATCGTATCCATCACAAGGTGTGAAGGAGCCTGGCGCTGTGCACAGGAAGGAAGCGCCAGGTCCAGACATACACAGACGAA